TGCAGAAAATCACAATCAGGAGCCCAATTGAATTGAATCACAGAGTGAACAAAGCACTCAGGAGCTGCACATCCCTTCAAGCACTACTGACACTCCCCACTTACTTGATTATCAAATGCAAATCACACTCAGAGAGGCTGATAACTTTTCTAACTGCACAATTTGACCCCTACTATTTGATTAAAACACAGCACTTGGTGCTCACAGAGGACTACAAGGTCAGCACCAGTTCATAATTACCCAGAAAGACTGCTGAAAGGAGACTTCTGTGGTTTTGTTCTGCTTTTAAAGGCCAAATGAAACAGGAGGCAAATTGAAAATCCTTTAAAACTCAATTTAATTCCTTTTCCTTTTTTTCAGTGAAGAACTTCTGCCCCTCAGAGACTCTGTGAGAGAACTGCCTTCACTACAGCAAAAATGCAAAATGGCTTTAAAACCCCCAAAATTTAGTGTTTTAAGCAGTTTAACCCATCCTGCTTAAGCTACTGAGCTTTGTGCTGCACCTCAAAGACTGGTACAGTGGCATTAAAGTAAGTGCTTGGAAAAGTTAGAGCTAAAAGAAAAATTACCTACGGATTCTTTCAGCTTCTTCCCTTGTGATTATGGCATCGCTCACACCCCTTCCACACCTCCTAGGAGTGCACCCTGGAACACAAAGAGGAAGCAAAAAAAGCCACTGAAACCACTTCAGCCACCTGCAGGGCAGGTTTTTATATGAGATTTTGCACACAAGTGTCTTGAAGCACACAGCTTGGGCAGATTTGATAAAAAAGTCTCTTAAAATTCCTTGCTAAGAAATCCAACATTACATTTTAAAAGCTCATGGGAATGAAAAGCCAGCAGTAACAGTTCCAGGTGAAGAATAAATGAAAGTTCTTAAGGAATTAGAAGTCTGGTCCACAACAGTCTTCAGGCAAGAAGAACAAATAAGATCAATTCTGAGCCACCAGAGACTTTGGGATGTCACACTTGGCACTTTTCTGGGAAAGATCCACATGGAGATGTAATGCCACAGAAAAGCTGGGCTGAGAGTATTTTCTGGCACCTGCCAATACATGTTCTGCTCCTGCACTGAGTGTCTCTTCAAGGATTATTTGCTCCTCAGAACACAAAACTCCTGCAAAGAAATCAATCCATTCACCCATGCAGGTCAAAAGCATCAGTTTGCTCTGATCAAAAGCAAATAATAAGTATGACCAGGCTGACAGAAGGAGAAGTTTTGCCACAGCATAAGTGCTTTGTAGGAATTTCCACTCCATCTTACTGGATATACCCCAACCATGTCTCCTGTGGGCTGCAAGGGAAAGCTGCAGGTAGAGAAGAGCCAAATTCTCAAAGGAGAATTTCAATACTCCAGGACAAACCTGGCTATTGGGAGTTTCCTTTCTACAACATTCTGCAAAGCCTTCTGATATCAGGAGAGATTTGTGCCATTTCCAGCTGCAAACATCAGCACAGATCTCATCCTTTTGGAAAGGCTGGTGCTGGAGAGTCCAAATTCGGCAAAATTACAGGGTTACCTCAGACAATTGTTACGTGTCTGGGGTCTCTGACAAAGAGATGGCAGGAGGTGTTCTGAAGGCAACAGCATAACCTTTTCTAAATGGAGAAATTAAAAAAAAAAAAAAAAGAAAAATACAGTCCAGCATAAAGTCAGTCAGGTACCAAGAGTAAGGCACAAACAGTGGGTGAATACTAAGGCAAAATTAGAACAGTCTGTTTGAAAACAATTTCAGCAGCAAGAAACGTGTCATCTTTGTCTCAGAGACCATGGCACATGGGAGCAATGAAGTGTTAAAAGCAATCCCAGAGAACCTGCACTCAGGAGAAATTCAGATTAGTATCACAAGTACCCAGGAGCCTCCACAAATTTATGCCCAGTAGACACAAAATTATCTTATCCAATAAGGCACCGTCAGCTTTGGATATCAGAGATGTATTTCTTCAGTCAAGGTAAAGGAGGAACATATCAAAACATGTAAAACACAAGTGGTGCCTCTGGCCCCTGCTCCTGTTCAGTGCACAGAAACCACTATGTAACACAGGGCTCCAAGTGCCCAAACTGGAGCTTCGTCTCCTACTAAGTGGTATTTGGCCAAGAACTGCTAAGACAGACATAATTCCCATGAGAAAAAAAGACTCCATCAAGATGGACCATGGTCTGAGTTGGAAGGGACTTTAAAGATCATTTAGTTCCAGATCCCTGTGGGAACAATCCATCTCAAAGCAGGACAAGAGCAGGCAAAGCTTTATTGGCTGCCATCCCTGTAACAGTCTCAGTGTCAGACCTTTTCCTCCACTTTCCTCACAAGCTTCTCTGCTTTCCACATCCACTGACCTCATCTCTGGTAAAGCATCTTAATACTGTCTCCCACACAGGAGTTTCATCAGACACACCAGTAGCCACAGTAGTTTTAAGTAGCTAACCATGTCTCAAGGCAGCAGAAATGGCCAAGATCTGGCCACAGCCTCCAGAATGTAGATGAGACTCTGCTCACACAACACCCTTCCTTCTGCAAATGCAATAATTTAAGTGCTTGGCCTCTGAGAAATAGCACATTTCATTTTGTATGGAGCATTTTTACAGGCAGGCAATGCTATGGAAATAAAACCTGCTCTGCCACCAGCTCCCACACCATTTGAAGCAAATTGGAAGCTCAGTTGCACCAGTTCAGTTGGAAGCAGGGGGCAGGTGCATAAATAAAAAGCTCATCTTAGCTGTGGAAACTTCCCAGCTGAGCATCAGACACCAAGTGATAAGAGGAATGTGCCTCCTTCTGACCCAGAGCCCGCAGCTGTGGGGGTCAGGCCAGAGGAAAGGCTGGGAATGAGGAGCTACTGAGTGATTGAGACCTGCTTCCAAAGTGGCCAAAGCTCCAGAGCTGGATCCAGCTTGGCAATGACCACAATTGGCATTTTGTGCCTCGCTCCGCTGTCGGTAACACACCGAGCTCGGCGCTGTCGCAGCTCATCACCCCCCTCGCGTGGGGAAAAAGCCAAGTGCAGGGTTCATGAGCACAGCACGCCTTCAATTAACCAATTAACAGCTGCTCCCGCGTTTCCAACACCGCTGATCTCCTTCTGAACACACAGGGCAACACACGTAAAACATCTACTAAAAACGCAAATCAATCCCACACATTGAGAAACAGGAGCAAGCAAACATCTAATTGGAAAATCAAAATACAAACACAAGATGCCTCCCCTTTGTCCCTCCTGGGTTGATCAGCAAGTCAATCGTCCTCATAAAGCCAAGAGGTCACACCTCACCCTGCAATCAGCATTTGCTGCTGCTCCTCGGGACATCCCCAAGAATGGAGAACACATTCATTCCTCCTCCTAGTGACAGATATCCCTGAAGTTCCTGCCTTCCTTAAGTTAGAAAGAATAACAGATGGGGTGGCCAAGACCACAAGTCCACAGCTCAGAGAATTCCTCTTGCAAACCAGGGAAGGGAAAGATAAGGGTTGTGTTGGTTTTGGGGGTTTATTTTGATAAGCAAAAGCCCAAGTAAGAGAACACAGAGAGTTTTAATCATAACCAAATCTGTGGCAACACCGGCTGCAGTTTTCTCTGGCCTTGCACTATGAAATAAAGCCAGCAGCAGTTTCTCCTCATAGTAGCTATGAGGAGTTAAGTTAACACAGAACATGTGTTTTCAGGTGCTCTGTCAAAAAAAATTCCCCCAATAAGGAAGGTTCCTTGCTGGTGGCTTCCTGACAGCTCTTCATCAGAGAAGATGAAAATCTTCCATTTTTCTTGAAGAACCAATATCAACCCTCCAAAAAAATAAGTGCCAAGGAAAACAAATCCCAATTTGACAAAAAAAACAGGCTCAGCTGAAGGACATAAAGGCAGAGAAGTGCTCTGTAGGCAGCATCAAAAGATATCAGCACATGCACATCTCAAAACAAGCGAGTCACAAACTGGCACTTGTGCAATTACCACAGGCTGGTGACACAGACAGTGCCCTAAACCAGTTCCATTCCATACCCTGTATGGTATCAACCAGCAACTAACTCACTCCCAAAGCCTATTTCAGGAATCAACAGAGTATGAAAAGAAACTAGAAACAGGCTTAGCGAAAGGTTTATTTCAGAGGTCAAGCAAAGCAGCATCAGAAGAGAATTACACAGGAATGACAGAGTAACCTCTCAGAACAACTTCTGGGCTGGCCCAAGGGGCACGAACGTTTGGGGCTTTAAGCAACACTCAGTGACCAGAAGTTTGGTGGAAACACGGGAGTTTTGCAGCACAAGTTTGGTTTCACAGACTCGGGTGTTATGGCCCTCTGAACAGTCACCCCACGTGGGACGAGCCTGCCCGAATACCTTCAAACCGCCTGTGGCTGTCGTAGTCCTCCGAACAGGGGATCTCCACGAACTTGTCCCGCAGGCTGTCGCTGCGATGTGCCAGCACCTCGGTGACCCCATCCTGGAGGATCCCATCCCCGGAGATCCCATCCTGGGCGAGCAGGCGGCTCCAGAGCACGAGGCCGCCGGCGGCCGCGGCGAAGAGGAGGAGCAGGATCGCCGCCTTCATCCACCATCCCCGCGGATCCTGCCGGGAGCGGCCCTTCCTGGCGCTGCGGGGGGAGCACAGCACGGGCCCGTGAGCAAGGGACGGGCCGAGCGGGACCGGCCGATACTGGGGAGCCCCGCCCGGCCTTGCTTTTGAGCACAAACACACACAAACACGCACATATATTTACAAACACCCGCGATCCCACCCCGCTCCCCACCGCAGCTCCCCCGGAGCCGCGGTCCCACGGCCGGGCCTGGGCACCGCCGCCCCGGGGCAGCGGGCGGGAGGTGCGGGCCAGGGCCCCCCTGTGCCGGTACCTGCTGTGCCGGCGGCCCCCGCGGCCCGTCCCTGTTCCCGTCGCCGGGCCCGGCCCGGGCCCGGCGCTCTCGGGGCCGCGGGGCAGCGCCCGGCGCTGCGGGGCCATCGCGCCTCCTCCGCGGCGAGCGATGCGCTCGGCGCGCCTCGCCCTGGCCTGGCCTGCCTGGGGAGCGCGCTGGGAAGGGCGGGAGGATCCGGCACAGGACCGGGAGCGGCGGAAGGGCGGCAGCGGGACAGCGGGAAGCCGGGACAGCGGGACGCGGGCTGGCAGCGCCGGGACAGCGGGGCCGGGGCGGCGGGACGCGGGCCGGCAGTGAGTGCCGGGGCACGGCGGCGGCAGCCCAAAGCAATCGAGGCCGGAGCATGCGGCGGCGCCTGGTGCACCTGGACCTGAAGGGCGCCGCGCCCCGCGCGCCGTACCTGGAACAGGTGAGGGAAGGACCTGGGGCAGGGGCAGGATTTACCAGGCACAGGTGAGGAATATGCCTGGCGCAGGTAAGGGGTGTACCTGGGGCAGGTGGGGGACGTACTTGGCACAAGTGAGGGATGGACCTGGCCCAGGTAAGGACGGGATGGGGACAACAGGACTCATCCCGGCCCGGCCGCTCCCTCGCTGTCCCCTCCCTCCCGCAGGTGCTGCCGCTGTTCCGTGCCCTGGGTGCCACCGGGCTGCTGCTGGAATATGAGGACACCTTCCCATATACGGGGCCGCTGGAGCCGCTGCGGGCACCGCACGCCTACAGGTACTGCCACGTACCCCACAGGTACCACCTGCCTGGTACCCCCTGGTGCCCCGGGGCACTGACGTGTCTCTCCCCAGCCCCGCGGAGCTCCGGGCTGTGCTGAGCGGGGCGCGGGCGCAGGGCCTGGACGTGGTGCCGCTGGTGCAGAGCTTCGGGCACATGGAGGTGAGCGGGGCAGGGCTGGGATGGGGGAGCAGGGGGGCTGTGCTGAGCCGGCACTGCCTGGGGGGCAAGGAGGGCAATGGGATCCTGCGGTGCGTTGGGGAGCATTGCCTGCAGGTCAGGGAGTGATCCTGCCCCCTCTGCTCAGCCCTGGGAGGCACATCGGCAGTGCTGTGTCCAGTGCTGGGATCCTCGGGATAAGAGAGACACGGAGCAGCTGGAGCAGGTCCAGCAGAGGCTGCAGAGATGCTGAAGGAATGGAGCATGTGTGTGACAAGGGAAGGCTGAGGGAGCTGGGGCTGTTCAGCCTCCAGAGGAGACACTGAGAGGGGCCCTCCCCAGGGTGTGTCAGGGTCTGCAGGGAGGGGGCAGAGGATGGACCGGACTCTGCTCGGGGGGCCCAGCAATGGGACAAGAGGAATGGGCAGGAACCAATGCCCAGGAAGCTCCACCTGAACATGGGGAAGAACTTCTTCCCTGTGCAGTGACCCAGCACTGAACAGATTGATCAGAGAGGGTGTGGAGTCTCCCTCACTGGAGATATTCAAAAACCATCTGGACACAATCCTGTGCCATGTGCTCTGGGATGACCCTGCTTGAGCAGGGAGGTGGGACCAGATGACCCACTGTGGTCCCTTCCAGCCTGAACCATGATGTGATTGTGTGTTGGGAAATCTCTGATGTAAATCCTGATGTTCCCGTTATCCAGCTGTGCCAGCTGCAGGATTTGGCATCAGGGTCACACTGCACCATTTCCTTCACCCAGAGACCCCCCAGCACCATGAGGCACAGCCGTGTCCCCCCAGCCTGTCCCTGGTGTTCATTCACAGCCAAACTCAGTTTTAGCAGGACCTGCTCTCAGAGCCCTGGTGACAGGGGACACTGCTGTCCCCTCGTTCTGTGGCTGCTCCCCAGGCTCTCCTTTCCCTTGCAGTTTGTGCTGAAGCACAGGGAGTTCGCTCATCTGCGGGAGGTGCCGGCGCTGCCCAACGCCCTGAACCCGCACAAGGAGGAGTCTCTGGCGCTGGTCAAGGCCATGATTGACCAGGTCATGGCCCTGCACGAGGGCCTGGAATGGCTCCACATTGGATGTGATGAGGTGGGACTTCTCTTGAGCCTGGAATGTTTTTCCTTTGAGGAGGATGGTAAGGGCTGAGACTCTGTATGGGCCATTCACTTAAGAGTTGGACTCGATGATCCTCGTGGGTCCCTTCCAGCTCAGAATATTCTGTGATTCTGTGACTCTGCATTTCAGTTTGGGTGGGATTTTGGGGACAGAAAACACAACTCAAGCCAGTGCAGAAAAGTCTTTTTGACACTAAATGATTCCAGGAGCATGGGATGTCATTTCTATTGGTCTGAGTGTAATATCAAAGCATTGAAAGCAGCTTCTTAAATCTAACTCAGCACTTGGGTTTAGGTCAAATGAGTATTTAAAATGAGATTATCCATTAGAGCTGTTCATTACCAATGATCTGAGTTTTATGTAAGATGTTGTCTCGTTGTTCTGGCCAAGTTACCCAAAGTAAGCCTTTTTGTGGTGGGAAATGTTTTTTTTTTGTCTTGGGAGTTTTTATAAAGCAAAATGCTATTTATGTAGAATAAATATGTTGTGGGTAAAACCTGCTCTAAACCAACAGAGAGTTTAAATGCATATCCAGCTTAACAGGCCTGAATCCACTCTCTGCATGGACCAAGTATGGGGGGCTGCACTTGGACATGCCCCCAAGTTGCTTTTAGACTCATACAGATGATCTCCTTCCCTGAGACAGGAACCTCATTTTATATAACTCAGGACCTGATGTATTGCCAGATTTAAAGGTAATAAATGTGGTGAGAGCTACTCCCAAGGACAAAGCTTCCAAAGGCAAACACAGCATTTAAATATTTTAGTTTCTATAGGAAAATTCACTTATGATCACATGTAGTCATGGCCACAGTCTCCTGCAGACTGACAGAAATGCTTGCAGTGTCTTCAGCACCGAGAGGTGCTTTTGAATGTGTCCCCTCAGGGTGTCCCATCTGGGCCAAAGGTTTGGAATATTGTATGACTTGATGATACTGTGTCAAACTCATTTTCTTTTTCTGTATAAGCAATCAGGATTCTTTGCCTGATGTTTCAGGTCTACTACCTCGGTGAAGGAGAGGAGTCAAAGCAGTGGCTGCAGCAGCCAGACAACACCCCAGAGAAGCTGTGCTTGGCCCACATAAAGGCAGTTGCCAGTTGTGTGGCCTCATCTTACCCCAGGGTGACTCCCATCGTGTGGGACGACATGCTCAGGGGGATGAGTGAGGAGACACTGGCAGGTGTGTGACCAGGGATGGGCTGAGGAATGTTTTGTGTCATACCAAAAGGTTTATCCAGCCAGTTAAAACAGATTTGCTGGCACTGAAAATAATAAAAACAAGAAGAGTTGATATATAGAGAGAGAGAATAGAAACACTCAGTCCTTGGCTGTCACAGACTTTCTGTGTGACTCTGGGCAAGTCTGAACACATACACTTAAACAAAATGCTCACCCTGCAGTGGTCGCCATCAATTCTACTTTCTCAACACATTCAAATAAAACAGCCTGTGGTCCAAGTCTAAATCTCTGTGCCTCTCACCACCTTCTAATGTTTGTTGTTGCTCTATGCAGCACCTGGTCCCAGTGGTGCAAACACACAGAGAAGCTGCAGCCCTGTGAACACCTCTGTGATCGTGGTGCACACCATGAGGGCTCAGACACTGAATTGTGGGGTAGCTCCAAGACCTTGACATCATGAGTCTTGTTTGTTGAAAAATATGAAACCACTGCTAAAATTTGAGTAGTCTGAGCATTTTCAGAGCTACCTTACACATGCTACTTGCACCAATAATCTGTACTTAGTTCTCACTTTTACCTGGCTGTTTTCCATTACTTAGGAGAGCTCTGTTCCTTCCAGACTCCGGGGTCCCACAGCTGGTGCAGCCCATGATCTGGGACTATGCAGCTGACCTGGACGTGGAGGGCAAAGGTTTGTAGCTTCTCTGCTGAGCTGTGTAGAAGCAAAGAGCTGTTCAAGCAAAATAGCCAAAGCAAGATTGTGTCATTAAAACATACCTTAGTTGGACACCAAACAATTCTATTTTTGTTAAATTGCTTTTTATTGCTTTAACAGCATAAACACAGCTCATTTGATTTCACAGAAGAGCTGCTATTACTAATTTTCTTTTACTATTTATGTTTCTCCTATGAAGGACTTGCATTATCTGCTGCTTAATTCTTTTCAACACTGTTGGGGCATTGCGAGGTTTTTCACAAGCACTGTTACATCAACTCTCCTCACTGAAACCAGTGGGAGCCAATAGCCCTGTATTGAGCAGCTCTGCAAAAGAAGCTTCAAGGCTTCAGACATCTACAGAATTCAAAGGGAAACTCCTAAAGGCTCCAGTCAGGCATTTAACATGCATGAAAATATTTCTTTGTAGGAAGAAGAATCAGCTGTCAGATGTTGTGTGGGCTTGTTACATGCCCAGGGTTCTTTTAGCATTGTAACAATCCGAGGGAGTGGAATACAGTTAACTGGGCACATGAAAACAGGAGGGCAGCCACCAAAAAGGCTCCTCAGAGAAGGTGTCAGATGTCCTGTCCTTGGGACCTCAGCAGCCTGTTGGAACTGGACCTTGGTTCCTCTTCAGCATTTCAGCCAGGGCTGAAAATGGAGAAGACTCATGCTGTGAGTGTCCCTTTGTGTCTCATTGCAGTGCAGCTCATAGAGAAGTATCGGAGATGTGGCTTCTCCAAGGTGTGGTTTGCAAGTGCCTTCAAAGGAGCCACAGGAGTGAATCAGTCCCTCACACTTATTGGGCACCACCTGAAGAACCACCTGGAGTGGCTGGAAGTGGCCAGCAGGACCCCCCCTGATGTCCTTGAAGGTATCGCCCTGACCGGCTGGCAGAGGTGAGGAACAGCCTTTTCAATGGTTCCAGGGATACCATGGAGGCAAAATTCCACCCCAGAACTCCCTAAGAGGCACAAGGAGGCTGGGGAGTTGGAAGGGAACTTTGCAACCCTGCAGTCCTTCCTGTCAGTCACTGCTGAGCCTCAGAGTTCCACTCAGGTGGTACAGCACTAACCAGCAGGAGCAATTGTTTTGGAGACACCACCACCAGCAGATTGGGTTTGAAAGCTTGGATGTACTTTGTGCCACCTAAACTGCTTATAGAGAACATAGCTCATGCATGGTGGATGTATCAGAATGTCTGATGTGAACTCAAACAGAATGAAGTTGCATAAGAGAGAAGAACTTGTTCATGTAAAAAAGGACTAAAAGGTTTTTATGCAAGTCAGGAGGTCTAAGGGAATACCAGAGAGCTGAATTCCAATTTCTCTCTCTGATTTGCCTTGAGAAAGTAATTTGATTTTTATCTGTTCTTATTAGTAAAACAGAAATACTTCGTGTTTCAGGGATAGAAGGTCCCTTCTCTGAGACAGAAACTGATGTTTCTAAAGCTCTTTAATGATTGAAATATTAAAACTTCCCATTTGTTTAGTATGTTCTGCCAGTAAACTGTAAAATTAATGGATTTTTTTTACATAGGTATGATCACTTCTCTGTTTTGTGTGAGCTTCTCCCAGTGGCAATTCCATCCCTGGCTGTGTGTCTGCAGGCACTAAAGAATGGTACAATGACAACTTTATTCTCTCTCAGCTAATGCCTTGCACAAGAGGGAACTGCCCTTGCCCTAAGGTTGGCACAGGCTTATTATATTTTGAGGTGGTTTGACTATCTGCTCGTGGTCTGAATTATGAACAGTAAATTACAGTTTGCAGTATGGCCAGAGAAGCCTCTTGGCCTAAGTATTTAAAAATAGCCATTGGATACTCATCATTTATTATGTTCTAACCCACAAATGATGAAAAACTTCATGTTTATACTAAAAAATAAATTAAAGAAGCTGAATTGCTTTTTAAACTGATTTGAAACAATACTGACATATAAATTAGATTCATTTAATTTAGATTTAGATCTTGCTTAAGTATAAAAGTTGCATTGACTAATCAATTTTCTTAAAATGGATGTAGGAAGGACACTGCCTGGTAAAATACTTCCTGTAGTTCTGGTTTCTTTACAGGCAGTTGTCAACAGAAAGGGGTTTTTTTTGTCTTGCTGCATTTCTTATTTTCAAAATAAAGCCCCACAGCTTACTGATTTTTAACTCAGGCACTACAAATATTCAGCATCCTGAATGGGAAGCTCAGAGCTGGGAAGTGCTTTACCAGAAAACTGTGTGAAAGACCATGTGCTCCACTTCCCACCCACAAGTGTTTTTTCCTTCTTCTATTCTCATTTTACCTTTTAAAAAATCTCCCTCCAAGGAGAACTGCTGAGCCAATGCAGAGTACTCCAGAAAAACCCTCTTGTATGAACATTTTGGTTCCTTAGGCTCCTTTTGCTTATTTTCCACTGTCTTCTGCCAGGTGGCTACTCTGAAAAGGTTAAAGAAAATGTGGAAAAGCTCCTGGGAATGTCTAACCTGGAAATTGATACTTACATGAGGTAAAATTCCAGCTGGAGAATTCAGGTGCTTCTCGTTGCGTGGTAAGTTCAGAAACTAATGGATCCTCTCTGTCCAGCACAAGTCTGGGCACCTTTCCTGGGAGCAACATCCTCACCCTTGTGACACAAGTGAGTTTCTACCTCAAGTCATCAGTGGATGAACTTCTCGAAAGGAACAGGTAATGAGGTTTATGTTGATTCCCTGCCTGACTGCCCCAGTGCTGGAGCTGTTATCACCTCCAAGTGGGGCACAATTCCAGCAAAGTGGTTTAAACATCAAGCTCTGCATTTCAGGCATCATTGGCACCTCAGCAGAACATAATATTTAGCTGAAAATTTAAAATATTTCAGCAGAATTCCTAAATACTATGTGCTGCCTTATTTCAAGCATCTGGTTCTTTCCTGAATTACATTTTACTGCTATTTAAAGTTAAAATGAAATTTTTGAATGTTACAAAAAAAGGAGCTCGAAATGAAACTTAAAACTGCAGCAGATGATGGGTTTTTATCATCTGCCAAGCACAGTCTTTTACAAGCTAGTTCCAAAGATATACAGACTTAAATAAACTTACTCCTTAAGCATTATCTCTGTGCAGAAGTTCAGCTAAAGTTTTACCCACCTCCCTGTCACCCTACAAACACAGATGTCACTGCTCTGTCAAACTCTGCTCCTATTCACATCCATTTTCAGGTATGTCACAGGCTGGTTCAGCCCCTACCACAGGAAAAGGAAGATTATTCATCCTATAATAATGCACCTCTTCCAGCCAGATGCAGTCAGGTAACAGCTCTTGTTTTGCATCACATGGGAAATAGTCTGTGATATTTTGGGCACTCAATTACAAGTTTTGAGTCCTTGCCTCTTTCTGTAATTATCTCAGAAGCATCAGTGGGAATCAAACTATATCAAGTATTCATAATATGGTTTTAAACAGAAGATGTTGGGGTTGGATTTAGATGATCAAAGTTCCCTTCCAACTCAAACCATTCTATGATTCTAATTTTATGTTTGCCTGCCTTCTGATGAATAAGTTCTTTGAATACAAGTACAAAACTGGTCTCCAAAAACCTCTCCCTTGTCTACTCCTGTGCAGCCCTGCTGCACCTCACTGCACTGGTTTGCCTTGGTGTAGGATTTCACCATGGACCAGCTTCCAGACAGGGATTGGAATAAATCCAGACCCTTTTCCCCAGCTCCCTGTCACCATGTGCTGTTCAGAACTTGTCCTACACATTTTGCCAATTCATGCTGATTTTTTTTTTGCTGTGATAAGGTGAATATCTAACTGCATCTACTCTTTCTGATAAAACCCAGAATTAAATTCCCAACAAGTCTCACAGTAGGTTTCAGTTACACCTAAAATGTGTATAGTCGTTTTTTGATCTCACATCTTGGTACTTTAAAAATCATTGCATGAGAAAAGTGCCAGGATTATTGGTACTTAAACAGAAACAGCATCAACCTTTTGCCATCTGAACAAAATCAAGTCCTTTGGGCTCTTGTAATAGATGCTTCTTTTCCTGTAAAGTCATTTTAAGGACAACACTCCTTTCCTAAGGCCAGTAAGCCAACCCTCCCCTGAGGCAGAGCTCACCTGCAAATGTCATTGTTCCTCCCTTCTCATTTCTGCTCAGTCTCCTCTCCAAGTGGAATGCTGTGGTGCAAGACCTCCAAGCAGCCATGGAGCAAGTTTTCCACCAGTGTGCTATAGAGGAGTGGATGGAGGAGAATGTCCACCCCAGCCTACAGAAGCTGCAGCAAGTGGTGGATGATTTAGATGAAGCAATAAAAGCACAAAATTAGGGGCACTTCAATTAGTCTGTCTCATTCCATGGGAAAACATGGCTAGTGGAAATCAGCAACTAGTCATCGAGCTGGAGTTTGTCATCTGGAGAGCTGAACTGTGATTAAACAACAGTGACCCGAGGGCAAGAAGTAATTTCCTGGTGTAACAGACTTCAAGTCTTTTAATCTTCCTGTCTTAACACACGCTGAGCCTTAATTCACCTGCCCTGTAAGTCAGGTTTGCTGCCCTTGCTTAACAGAATGCAGGAGTGAGTCACAACTCTGGAGAAAAACCCAGTTTCTTCCACATTCAGTATTTGTAGCAAAAGACTTTCTTATTTAACAGTACCTGGAAAAGTTCTACAAGTTCTACTCTAGTCAGTGCCCAATATGTCCACCCTTTGCAATTTTCATAAAAAGAAATATTTGGGATACTTACTCCATGCTTTAGGTCCTTTTGTTCTGTCCTGCCACTCCTCCGTGTGTCAGCTGTGTTGAGTTCTGTCCTGCCATTCCATCACCAGTCCTTCCACAGCAGGGAGCAGTTACTTTGTTCCAGATTTTGGGTTGGATTTTTTCAGTCTTTGAAACACATAAAAGCATGGGGCTTAAATCCTGCTTTGATTAGCCTGAGGTCAGGGATTAACATCCAGCCTTTTGCAGAGGTCTGAGCAAGGCCCTGGCAGGTGCTGACAGGTCACAGCAGAGGCACGAGGGGACAGGTGCCATCGCAGGCCAGAGCCAGAGGGAGCTCCAGGAACAGTGACCCTTGGACTTGGAGGGAAAACTGCCAAACATTGGGCTGCCTCAGTGTCTGCCAAAGCATCATCTAAGATCAGCTTAGTCTCATTCCCACAGAAAAGCACCATCCCACCCTCTAAGGCACCTGTTGAGCTCTGTAAAACCTGAAACTGCAGGTTTGTCCCAGTTTGAGGCATGACTTAAAGTTACTAAATATGAGGGGAAAATGCTGGTTTATTCTGCTTTAATATCAAACTTTTCATAATGTGTGGCAATATATTTTGTGGACTTAACTGGAGCAATAAGATAAACACCACAGTGGAAATAATTCAGAAGTCTGGTAGTTAAGTACATCACCATGAATATTCAAAATATTTACTTGTGCTTCATTTATTCCTTTCTTTTCTTTCTTTTTTTTTTTTTTGGAAGCACAGGTATCGAAATTTTCTTGGAACAATCTGTAGATTCAGAAAGTACAAGGGCAGCATAAGACAAACTTTAACTTACTCAATGAGAGCCTCAGTGATTAGGTCCACATGCAGATTTTTATCTAAAAATAAGCAACTGCTATGCAGACCTTAATTACAAAAGTTACATACCTTAAACTAAACAAGATCTTAACTTATTTTCCTTGAATAAATCCTTTGATACTCAAAATGTGCTTCTTTTTTGTGTGTGTGGCATGTTGGTTTGGTTTAAAGGAGGGAAGACGGAAATATATTCACCAGTGGAGAGCTGGATCCCCATTAACTCCTCCAGCAGGTCTGTGTCAAGTAGTAATTTAGACAGCCATTGATATTTTAATAATTTTAATTAAAAACAATACAAAATACTACAGTGATGCAAAACAAGTTATCAAAGTTGATTTTATCAATGGACTTTTTTTTAAAAAAAAGACAGTATAACAAGGCCTTGCTGCAATTCTACTTGCAATTTTACAGTAAAAAAAAAGGCAATTTCTAAACAGTTTCAAGAAGGATTTTTGCCTCTCAGCAATCTATGACAGTGTCAGGACTAGCACTCTTTATTTACTATTAAGCCAGCTAAGTTTTTGGTATCTGTAACTTCATAAATACAGCCCAAGAGTCAGATATCAACTAGACAGTTTAAATACTTTGATTTTCTTTTGAGACTTGCACAATTGACGCTAATTCCCTGCGAAATATCCCAATATTGGATTGTACCTTACCTAAAGCAGTGTTCTCCCTCTGTACAGCATGCACTCCATGCACTCTGGGTTTCATCACTACAGCACAGTTGTGGTAAAGGACATGACAGAAGGGGTTGGTTTTATGGGGCAGGGTGTTAGGTCTAACCTAAGCTCTGGTTTTAAATAATTTCTAAGTCTTATAAAGTACAGCTGTGCAGGCACAAGTCAGTAGATGGCCTGATATGCAAAAAAGACAACTACATCTCCTGTAATACTGTCCCAGGAGTACCTAATCTCCTAACAAAACTAGTCTTTCACATCATTCTTTGAGTCCAAGCCACTTCACACCAGGCACACCTAAGGCTACATTTACTGGGCCTTTCAAACTGCTGGGCCCAGGAGGAGTGAGGAAAACCATTCAAAAAAGCCTTTGGCAAAATGGTAAGAAGTGGCAAAAGAGGAGGATGAGAGAGGACTAGTCCAAAGAGGGAAGAACAGCACCTGTCCTGAGTTAGCACCTGCTTCCTCAACAGTTCAAGCTGCACCACATCACTGAGGAGTGCACAGACACTGCCAGAACCAAATCCATGTTTAAGGCAATTTGCAAGTTAAATTTACACACAGTTACTGCAAAACATGAAAACGTGGTGATGTCTTCCAGCTACAAAAGATAAAGTTTTTGAGGACAGGAAGCAAACGTGGACCAAGAGAAACAAGAAGCTCCCAAGTGTATCAGACAGCAGTGCCCAAATACACCAGGCAAAACCCACAGTAAGAGACAATTCCCTCAGTGCTTCCCTTTAGCTCAGACTATGGAATTCAGGTTCCCATTGGAGCTGTACTTGTTTGTACAGTGGCAGAGCTGCCCAATGCCAAATGGAAGTGGCAGTAGAGGGAATGGCTCAGCTGCTCTGAGGCTGAGGAGTCAAAACATCCTCCCAGACACACAGTGCATGGCAGCTGCCATCCCTCTCCTGCCACCACTGCAGGACACTGAGGGCTGAGGGGGACACCACACAGCACCTTCAAAGAGGTGATCACTGGACATCAAACCAAAAGGCAACTTACTCCACGGGATGTACTTTAAGCCATGTTGTACCTTATTATAGGTCATTCCCCTTTCTAGGGATTCTCAATTTTCCTTACATTGTTTCAGTGTTTGTGTGAGACCCTGCATAGTCCATCAGGACATCCATGACTGACACTAGGAATGCACAGCAAGCTGAATGCACAAGAGCTCAGCAGAAGCAGGACACAGGATGCAGTGCAGGGTTACACCAGCAGACGTACCTTTCAAAAGCTGATTTTAACTGGAAAACTATAGCATGGTTTACATCTTCCATGGAATGTCAGCTCTTATGGGAATACAAAAGATACCTAATATATCTATGACTGAATGCAGGTAGTTTTTCCTGTTTTATCCATGGTCCACTCCATGGGCTCAGAATGTAAGTGCAGTGCACAACACAAATGGCCTCTGCATGTCCTTGACACAGAGCAGCAGTTACCACAGGCTGTGCCTACATTGTACCATTAAATACTCTAGGCTTTTTCAGTATTTCTTACTGGAAGTCCTGAGAACACTCATCATTCTCACTTTACACTGTAGGAAGAGTTCTCCAAATCCCCAATGCCATTCTCCTCTCTGTCAAATGAGCACCACTTCGGGTATATATTACAATGGATTTAAACGAGGAGCTCTCCAAGGTGTTACACCCTGCAACATTTAAACAGGTTTGATAACTATGCTCAACCTACAGCTGTGCTTCAGAATAAAGGCCAAATTCAGCTAATTGCCAATTTTCCCACATTCATACACAGCACCTTCCCAGTTGCAGTGATGTGGGGTAGGGACTGAAAACCACATGATTATGGCATTGACTCAGAGGACTTTACAAACATGTACTGGCAGAGGTCTGCCTTGGTACCTGATGTGTTACAAAGGTCTTTTCCTATTTAAAGGAAACATCTCCCTGTTGCAGGGGGATTACCTTCCCACTGCCAGCACTGAATCTTTGCCTCACAGCCACGTGCCAGGGCTGAGCAGCTGGAAGGCAAATCCTGGTACCACCTGGGTTTGGTCAGAGCAGCAGGTGCTCAGTTCCAGGTCTGTGGGACACACAACAGGACATGGCTCCTGCTGAAAGCTTTTCAGAGCCTTGTCTCTGTAGAGGTAGAGCAATTTGAAACACAAACACAGCTCTTAAGTCCTAAAGGAACTGCTGCCAGAAGACATTTGCTGCTGGCCAACCAAAAGTAGACAACAGTTACTTGTACCCTGTTCACATTTCCTAGAAGTAACTGTGTAAGTATTTTCTAATTCAGGTCTTAAGACCATAAGATTCCTAAATAAAACCTAGGGAACTTCAGTACAAGCATGTTTGAAGGAGCTTTCAGGTCTTTACAATTTTGTTCTTGTACTGACATATCGATGTAGACACGATGGAGTTTTACTTCTAGACAGAATATGTTGACTTAGAGAGGTAGCTTTTACTTCAAAAAATACCTTGAAAAGTTAATATTTTAACTATTTGTGAAATCACTGGTCAGAACAGAGGACACCACACACCTGGAGTAAAACATGGTACAAGTCAAACATGGAATCTATCCCACCTATCTTAAAAAAATTATTATTTAGCACTTTGGTATTGCAAGTGAGGAAATACTAAACAACTCTAGGCTACCATGTTGTTTGACATCAGACTTTTCCCTACCTAAAGTAACAGATGTCCTTGCTTCCTTTCTAAACACACAGTTAAAATAGTAAACACTGAGGTCTAGGAAAAAGTTATTCAGTCCTGGGGCAGTCTGTGCCCAGAAGTGAAGCAGAACAGGGTTAATCTAGAATATCCCAAAGACATTGAATCATCAGCATGATCATTCTTCCCTTTGCTATTCATGGCTCCTCAGCCAGTCCAAGGGAAATTAAAACAACGTTACAGGTTAAACAACCTGATGTTCCGAATTCCAAGACAGGTACTCACTTAAATTTCCATGGGTATCTAATGGCAAGTCAGTAGTAGAGAATATAAAAGTGCCACTACTCTGCATCACCTAATTGCATATATTAAGCTGCTTAAAACGGATTTAGCAATATATTCAGTCATAACATTTCAAGACAAACCTCAAAACGTTGTGTCAGGAGTTACAAACTCAACTCTTCTACTCTTCATATACTGTACCTGCAGCAGAAGTTTGCAGTAAGAGGCTGTTCACATCTGCACCTCCGCTTCACTAATGGGAAAGCAATTATTTCATACCAATCCATCAATAAATAATTATTCCTAGACAAGTTTGGTGAGCTGACAAAGTTCAAAAGCCAGCAGTGTCCACATGCAGGAATTAAGGCAGAAGAGCAAATGAAACAGAATTTGCTTTGGACTCTACAACATCAATTCTTGGAACGTGGGTCTCGAAGCAGTTTAGCACTAAATGAGGTGCATTAAGACAGATTCCTCCCATTGTAAATTGTAGAGAAATGCCCAGGCCAAGGTTGTGAGGGATTTCTTTTTCTGAAGAACAATCGGAGTGTTTTCCAAATGTGTGAAAGCCTCTGCTTGCTTCAGCTCATGATGACTATTAGTATTTATCCTGTGGTTCATCTGCATCACTCGCCTCTGTTTCGCTGCTCTGAGAGAAATCTTGGGGGCTTTCTACTCTGTGCAGCTCCAGAAAATTAGTAATGAGTTTGGCAACTGCTTCCACATCACTGTGGAAAAGAAGAAACCACAGAAGAGTTAGTGGAACTGTGGTGCTGACAAGACAAGAACAAGCACATTAAATCTTGGGAATAACTACTCTATATGACATATAGATCAAGACTGACAGCATCCCACACCAAGCCATTAGTTCCACATCAGAACAAATCAATCCTTTCCCCAGTTCCTGTTGCAAGGGTCCTTATTATCAATGCTTAAAACAGATCCCCTGTTAACTAATACACTGAATGTTTGCAAAACAGAATTAATCCCCTCTGCCATTGCACAGCTGAGGAAGGTAACTCCAGCAGACATGCAGCACTAAAGGGATCTTAGATATCTAAATATGATCCTGATAGATGGTGTTACCCAAACATCTACAACTGAAAACCTTTAAGGTTTAAAAGGTTTCCAAACTGAGTAACACAAGGTCCTACCAGCAAGTCTGAAAACCGAGCTTAGTCTCAATAATCAGCATTTATTACCCATGTGATTGGTATTTCCCACCTTACTCATTCTAATCTAAATAGTCCTCACTGCACCTTCTGCAGCCCAGCACTGCACTCTGGGTCAGGGGGTGTGAGAATCCAGTGACAAAGCGCAGCACCACCAGGTGACCCTTCCCAAAGTAGCGCACGGTCTCCTCCTCCACGTTCACATCCCGGATCTCGCTCAGCAGAGCCACCACTGCAAACACACGTGGAGAACAGGGCAGTCTGTCAGCATTGATGGAAACCCTCAGCACTGAGTGACCTGGGGGACAGGGGCACCACCGCTGTGACCCCACCCAACCGTGGCAGTCCTGCTTCAGCAAACAGCTGCTGAGCCCTTCAGGCAAAATAAACACGTACAGGGTGTGACTGCAGCACATCTCAGCTGGTACAGGCCTGAGGAACAAGATCTACAGCCTGCCAGGGACTGGGGACCAGGCATTTGTTAGCTGTGTTTCCCACTTTAATGACAGTTGTAACTATTTTTCTGTACAGAGCAGGTAAACAGGTATGGAGTGTACTGAGACTGAACAAATACTGAAATATTTAACTGCTCAGAGCACCTGCATCCCCACGTACATGGTACCCAAGAGAAATATTTATATTACCAAATATTACAAAATAACCCCTCAGGAAGAGATGTGCTCAGCTCCCCAAAGCATACACACACCCGAAAGAGAAGTTCAGAAACATTAAACATCCTTCTCTCCACATCTCTTATCTTCCACCTCCAAAATGAACGGCTTAAAAACCAGTTCAGCCTACGGACATTCCAAATGTTGCCAGTTTTCTAAGCACATTGAGAGTTGCTTTGAATAAAAGCTCTGACAGGGGAGAGAATCCTACTTTAGTTTGCAACAGAACTCCTGACTACACTGCAGGTTCTGTTAATCCAACAGGAAGCCCAAAAGACATCAGGTACCGCATTAAAGTGAGCCCACTGAATATATTGCTTTAATTGCACATTATAAACCTGCAGGATGCAACATTTCTGCTTGCATAGAACTAAATGTTTGCCTGCTACCAAAAGCAGATTAAATTACAGAATCTCAAGTTCTGGATGCAAAATTTCAGTTTTTCCACCAGTCCCACCTGCCAAGCAGGGGAGCCAAGGGAAAGGTCAACCTGCACATTAGCATCCCAAAGGAATGGCTAAGATTGCTCTGGAAAACAATGTGCAAACCCAGTCAGCTTGGATTAAATAATTAACAAGATGCATTCAGCACATGCAAAAGGCATTTGGGCCCTGAGAGGCAGATTGTTACATCTGCTGCTCGGGAACAAAGCAGATCTGGCAACAGATGCAACTTAATTTGAGTAGAGAACTCCTGAGAACCCATTAAATGGGCACATATCCATTTCTTCTGCTGCTCACATCTTCTACCAGATGCTGCTTTCTCACCTTGTTCATGGCCTCCTTTGGACAAGGTCAGTATTTTTTTGTACAGATTGAATGTTTTTAGGCAAACCGTTCCCTTGTTCTTATCAAATACAGCTTCCTGTAAAATTGAAAAAAAAAAATCAAGATTTTCTTAAACACACCATCAATAGCTGTGCTTCAAAGTAAAATAAAAATAGTTCTGTGGGAAAACAACTTGGTAACACAGAAAAATACATGGCTAGTTTAGAGACATTCCTCTGTTATTAGACTGTGAAAATCACAATTTTGCTCTTGGTTTTAACAGACTTTCCCACATCTCCTGTGTTACTTCTAGGAGGGAGTTAAAACTGGGTTCTTTGCCCCTCTTGCCACATTCCTCGTGTCATAAAAACTTTGCCAGGAATCAAATGTGAACACTAACTTGTAACTCCTGTAATTTTCACTTCTGGTTTATGCACTTGGCATTCCAGTGCTGTGCTCTATGGGCCAGGCTTACATCAGATCCCAAATATCCCTGACAGTCCATGGAAAGAGGATGTTTCATGTGTGAGTTGCACATTCTAATACAACTCAGCTCAGCAAGGTGACAATCCTATATTATGGCTTATTGCTCTCAGTTCTATTCCCAACAAATCAACATCCACAGGATTATAAACCAGCTTACACCATTCTTGTCCCAGAGGAAAACAGCTGAGCACCCTGGAAGGTCAGAGCTCCCCTATTTAATGTTCTGTCAATAGCTGGAAGGGCAAGTACAAAATCATGTTGTGGCAGCTGAATGGGGGTCATTCACCCTCTTTTATATAAGACAAGGCCACAAAACATTTTAGGGCAAGTCTCCCCTTAAGAATACCCATGTTGAGCTTCACATTTTCATGCTTAAATAGTCAAAGGATTATTGCCCTAAATCTAGTCCCAGTATAGCAACCCCAGAGGGCTTCCCCAAAACCAAAGGCATAACTGGTCTGTTTGGACTGAGCAAGTGTGTGGGGCTGCTGGAACCAGCATCTGCCAACTGCCTCTTACTCACACCACCACATTTCCTGAGTTCAGCATCTTACCTCCCACTGCTCCAGGTTCTGTGCTGCCACAAAGAAACACCCAGCCATATAGAAGAGCTTCCATGCCAAGCTGTCTGAACAATGCAAAAAATACACAAATTTAGCTTTTTTTTCCCCTTCTTCTTTGTTATTCAGACAGTTCTAAAAGCAGCATGCTCCCTTTAAAGGCAATAAAAGGAAAAAAAAGGTTTCTCAGATTTCCATCTGAGAAACCTTTTTTTTTGCCTTTAGTTGTACTACAAGCTATTTTACAGCTCTCAGGATGAAAACAGAGAAATTCTTCACATTTTTCAGAGACTTCATTCACACTGGGCTTCAAACCACATAGAATTATAAGCATATGTTATTACTGACAAGGTTGTAACATTGCATCTTTCTCTTCTCTAAAAGCAAAGGCATCTTAAAAGGCATCCACAAAACTGCCAACCCGCTGTCAACCCCCAAATATTTGTGCTGCAGAGGACAAGGGTAAGGGACAATGAAAATTCACTAAAGCAAACATGTTTCTGCATAAAAGGAAGCAGTTGGCCCTCCTGACAAACAAACATTTGCATTTTACGTCCTGGAAATGTTTACATACAGCAGCCTGAGCAATTTGCTTACTCAGGTTTTTAGAGTAGAACTGTGCTCAGGATTGTTTCAGAAAACTTTGTTGCAATGTCTTAAAATAAACAAGGCTGGTTTAGCTGGTGGCTCAAGCAGCTTTCACTGTATTTTGCTCTTTCATTAACAATACATGGATTACATTGGCAGCGTATTCCTACACACCATTAAGTTTGAAAATCTGATGTTAACAGGATGCAGCAGGAGAATGACAGGGCAGCTCCCAGGATAAATCCCAGAGATGGAAGGAGAGCTGGCATTTGGTGCAGTCTGCTCTACTGCAGGGGGGGAAGCAGCAGGAGCTGTCTGATCCCTGAAGGTGTCTGAGTAATCTCTGCCAGTGATGATCTGACAGTTTCCAGAGAAACAGAGCACTTCCGTCAAAGGAATCATTTCATTATGGGGGCAAATAATCGCTGTGTGTCTTCCCAGGGGAGCTGTGAGGACCAGCTAATCACATTTACAAATCACACACAGCACTAAATAGCATTATTAAAAATACTCTTGCAAATGGAAAGGGAGGCTGTGTAAGAAATAGAGCATTAAAGCACAGTAAGTCATACAGGCAACAATTATTATTGGTTTTAATATTCCTGTCACGAAGTGGGACAGGTACCTCCACTGCCTGTGTGAGGCCTGACAGAAGCTGCACAGGAGTCATCAGCATAAAAAACAGATCAACAGGAAAGAAACAATTCTTCCAAAAAAATCATAGGCCATTACCTGCACTGTAATAAGCAGCAGCCAAACCTATGGAGGCTATGCCTAGAAGGAAATAGGGGAGAATTAGAACAACAAAAAAAATCTAAAATTCCCTGATGAAAAACATCACTTTTCAAAAAAAGGACAAATGTGATTGCAACATGAATCACTGTATGAAAGTCAGTTATTTTTTTCTCCAAACCCAGAATAAAAAAATCTTGCATTCTGCAAAGGCACTAAAAGTGCATGGGCCGAGGTCAGAAATAAAAATGCTGTGACACAACTGGGAACAGAAGCTCAGAGGGACTCTGTAACCATTACACCCCACTTCCTCTCAGCACAGCACCACTTGGAGCCTGCTGACACAAACACTGCAACCGTTATTTGTCCCTTTAAGTGCCCCGTGGAGCCAAAAGAAAACTTCTGCAATGAAGTTGTGTCAGAAGCTGCCAGCTCCTTTCTCCCAGGGAGGGGGAAGCAGCTGAAGAGTCCCTCATGCCCCAGGGGCTGCAACTGCAAAGATCTTGGCTCAACATCACTGAGAGCAATGACAACCTCGTGGTGTCACTCAGCTGGAAAGCAGGATATGTCACATTTTCCCCACCAGCTCTCTCAGTACAGCCCTAAGTAGTTTATTTTTTCTGTATATTAGTGTTTATAAAGATGCCTTTCAGAACATCCTGTATGACTTCCCATTTCATACACAGCAGAGTTAAGAGTTCACCACCAACCACACACGAGATCCAACCCCAGCATGGCCACACTGCAGTTTTCCATTTCTGAAAACTGAGATGTTTTTCAACCTAAGAATGCAGCCCCTTCAGAAGCTTCCCATTTATATGCCTATAGGGCATCTGATTTTCTGTTCTTGCTCTTTCAGGACTCCCTTGAAATTCTGTTCACGAGCTCCTGAGGCTCTGCAGATGACAGGCTGAAAAACGAGCAGTGTCACAGTGAACCTGCCACGCTGAGGAGGAGATTTCAGACTCATTTAGTGGCTGTGCTAAAGGAAGAGTTCAAAGCATGATCATTCCTCTTCTTGAAAGAAGAATGCCTGGAAGACAGGCATCTCTTGTTAGGGGCTCTTTCAGGAATTTACTCTATGACCCTCTTCCCTTAAAGCAAGCTCTGAGACAAACAGAGGAACATTGTGGTCTTACCAACACAGAGGGACCAGGACCGGATGCCAGGTGACCTCTTCAGATGAAGGAGGGAACTCGTGCGGTTTTCAACCAACATGTACATCTTCAAAAACTCCCAACAGCCCAGTGTGACTCATGAAACCTCACTGGACAAAACAAACAAACAAACAAACAAAAAAGTAAGAACTTTAAATCATTGAAGACTCCACTCCTCTCCCCTCCTAGCACTTTTTAAAGATTTATCAAGTCTTAATCTAGATTATATAAGATGCTCAGGGTAAGAACACAGTCTTTTTGCACAGGAAGAGCAACATGCACACTTAAAACAACCACAAAGAAAAACTGTTATGTGGAGAGTTGCATAACATCAACAGGAATCTGAACTCTTGGAGAAACTTCTCATTTTGAGTGGAAGAGTCTCTTCCTTTCTATCACTACTAGATTCCAGAAGAAAAGTCTGGAAAACAAGAACCAGGAACAATGTTGTTCCTAATTCATGCAGCCCCTCAAACAAATAAAACAAGAGCAATGGAAAGTTCTTGGACAGCATTTTTCCTGTCAGCTGAAAGGGCTGTGTGAAGGACTAGTCTGGGAGCTGGGGCAGCTCAGTGCTGCCTCCTGCACCTCTGACATTGGGTCTCTCAGCCCTGATGACACACCAGGAAGGGGTTACAGCCACAGCCAGGCAGTGCCAGTGTCCCATAATGCCACAAATGGCACTACCACCTTCTAACCCAACTCAATAATACAATAATACAAACAACAAGTATGTTTGTCTTTCCTCAACAAGACCTTGCCTTCAGCCTAGGCAGAAACTAACAGTAGAGATTAAAAAGGTGGGTACTAATTAAAACCAGTAAGAGCTGGGCAATCCTGTGCAGCATTTTCAGTAAGTTTTTGCTCTTTACAGAATAAAATCAGAGAGTCATTTAGGTTGGAAAAGACCTTTAAGATCATGACGACCAACCATTAAGCCAGCACTGCCCAGTCCACCACCAAACCATGTCCCTAAGTACCATGCCCACCAGGGTTGGTGACTCCACCACTTCCCTGGGCAGCCTGTCCCACAGAACCAGTTCCAGGAGGTTGGCACTAAGCTGCCTTTAGCTGCCCATGATAACAGGTTTCCAGAAGAATGCCAGCATTCATCAGGTTTTGAATAACCATGAAAAACATGTAGAGAGCAGGTCCAAGCACATCCAGGTTCTTACAAAAGAAAAGTATGTGATTTTCAGTCCTTTAGTTATCCTGCTGTCCTTGGATGCAACGTGACACTCCTGCAATTCTGCTGCTTTGGATACAAAGCTCCAGGGGAGCGGATTTAGCCAAGTCCTTTCAGTTAAACAAAAAGCACCTATGACTTTGATTTTAATCTCTTAGCAACACATCTAAGAGCATCTGAAACCAAAAGAGCCAAAACCACTTATGCATAAGACACGCTCCATCTCCTCCGGATGTCAAGCATTAAATTTTAATTTTCAAATGACTCCTGTGAGTTGCTCTCAATGTACCGGAAAATATCTCTGCTCTTACACCCCTTCTCCTGCCTGTAACCTAAAAGATATCTAAAGGTTATCAAATGCACAGAGACCACTGCAGAAATCTGGGTGTATTTCACAAATATGACACCCTACTTATAATTCACACAACTATGAGTTAAATGCGTTAATGGAAACTTTGGTCTCTCCCCCCATATTCATTAAGCGAAGTCATTAACCATTAATCATATTCATTAACCACGCAAATGAGTCTTGGCTTAATGTTGGACACTCAACATCAATGGAATTGTCTCTCACAGGTTGCTGTTTGCAAGAGAGGAACCTCACGGGATAAAAAGCACCAAAGCAGCTTCTTAAATTTACATTTAATAAATAAATCATAAACGTGGTTTTAAGCGAATACAAAAGTTTAACTATGAAAATTTTACGACTAGAGACAAAGAGGTGGTTTTGGGCTGCTGTTTCAATTCAATTTCAAAACCTCAATTTTGCTTGAATTTGTTGGGTTTGCCATTAAACCGATCTCCAGCACCAAAATAAACATTCATATGCTTCCTCCAAGCCCTCGGCTGAGGGCGAGCCAGCAAAAGTCATTGAAAGGAGCACCTTAAGAGCTTCACCGCCAATATCCATCAGGTCAGGGCCACACATCAGGCGAATTTTCTTTACAGAGCGCATTCTTTCTTTACCTCCCACTCCTGCACCTGCTCCCCCCACCCACAGCGTGGGGGAGGCACGGGGGACTCTCCCCACACAGGGAGCAGCGCTGCCCAAATCCACCCAACGCGCGGGTTTTCTTTCCCCACGCACCCCGAACCGAGGCCCCCTTTCCCCTGCCCTCATCCCCGACTCCACGGTACCTGCCCGGCTCCGGCCGCGCTCTGAGGGACCCGCAGCCGCCGCGACTCCCGCGCCCTCACACAGAACCCGCCTCAGGGAGGGCCGGACGCGCCCGCCGCCATTTTGGGTGAGGGCAAAGGACGGGCACTCGAACCGCCCCTCCCGGCAGGGCGAGGGCAGCGCCAAGATGGCGGCGCGCTGCCAGTACTCAACATGGCGCCTGTGCCCGTGGGTGCTGCCGAAGTAAGAGTGTCGGTGTTTCCGTGGTTATATTACCTTAGCGGAGCTAAAAAAGAGAGGAAAGCTCGTGCGTTGGCGAATTAGAGGATTGCAGTGCTGTAGGGTGAGGTTGGCTGTGCGGGAGAGCCTTGCTGGGCACAGTTTGATAGACCCGCGCTGGGTGAGGTGGACACGGCCCCGTGCGTGAGGCGATCAGGGAGGGCGAGGAGCCGCTGCGGGCTGTCGTCCTGCTCGTAGTGTCCCTGTGGAGGTCGGGGCACCTCTGGGCTCCCAATGGCAGCATTTGGGGCACCACTGTCACAGAGTGCTTGCACTGTGCTGCAGCCATCACAGAATCACAGAAGAGTCAGGGTTGGAAGGGATCTCTGGCGATCACCCAGTCCAACGCCCTGCCCAGGCAGGGTCACCTGGAGCAGGTGACACAGGAACACGTCCAGGTGGGATTGGAATGTCTCCTGAGAGGGAGACTCCACGCCCTCCTGAGCAGCCATTCCAGTGCTTAGCCTCCCTCCATGGAAAAAGGTTATCTTTATATTGAGGTGGAACTTCTTGTGTCTTAGTTTATGGCCATTGCTCCTCGTTCTGTAACTGGGCACCACTGAAAAGAGTCTGGCACCATCCTCTTGGCAACCCTTGGAGATATTTATATGCATTAATGAGATCCTTCTTGGTCTTCTCCCTTGCAACAAACGTGGGTAGAGCCCTTCCCAAATCTTCGTTCGCGAAGTCTAGCCATGAAATTGGAAATTGAACTTGGTCTTCTCCAGACTAACCAGGCCCAGCTCTCACAGTCTCTCCTCAGAGAGATGCTCCAGACCCCTCACCGTCTCTGGGGCCTCCCCTGGACCCTCTCCAGCAGCTTCTTGTCTTTCTTGTACTGCTTCTACACCTGGTAATACTTCTTATCTCTATGTACAGGCAGGAGGCTGCAGGAGGGTGAGGTTTGTAGTGATTTCTCAGTGTCACAAAGTTGTCTCAGTGGCTCCTCAGAGAAGTCCCACAATGGGACCTGGATTCCCATTGAACTGACTGCTTTAAGTTTCCCAGTCATCCAAATGTGACTCTTGATACTTGTGAAGGGTTTTGCTCCTGCTGTTGGGTTTTTTTTTTCCAATAGTAAATTGTATCTGTTGCCAGTATGTTGATTTATTCTGAGTTTAGTAATACTTGGTATTTTTAAGCCTTAGCTTTCAGCTTTGATAGCTGTGATGGTTATAATAATTGAATGCAAGGTGGTTTTGTATAGCTTTTATAATTGTAAACAGAATCCTCAAAAAATTAATGTCATTGTTCAAAAACTCAAGGGGATTTGCAAAGCAGAAATATCAGTGATAATCTTACAGTTCAACACTGATGTCATTACTTTAGTGAATTGTGTATCAGCTAAAGTGTTGGGTTTGAAAATCTGTTGTTTGGAGAGGAAAGTTTCTGGTTCATTTGAAATACTGAGTGACTTTCCTGTCGAGGACAAGTAGGCTACCTTTGGAAAATCCTTTGTGTTTCAGTTAAACATCATTCATATGGAAAAAGCTGTTCCTGTTCAATCCATTAGAGCAACTGCTCATGTCAGGCAGGAGGGGTGAAGTGCAGACATCTGTAGTTTAGCTTAACTTGTTAAATTCCTGTCATATATGTATAACTATGTATAACTTCACCTACAAATGATATTTGGTCCTCTCTCCGTTGCACAGAAATGTCCTTCCTGGATGACATCTGATACCAACTGATCTGCAATTTTTGTGTAATTCTGTCAATGGGAAAAGGCACTGAGGAACTGCAAGAATGAATTGGCCTCCCTGTGAGTCACGAGGTAGCAGCTGCTGGATTTGGATGAAAAATAGGAAGTAATAAGTATCACGTGTCCTCAACCCAAACAAGCAGCTGACTGAGTCTTCTGGGAAGAAATTTATGTCTAATCAGTTGTCAATCAGCTTTTACAAGCAACTGGTTTCTCTGGAAACCAAATATTAAGCCATTTTGAGTGATACAAGACAAAAGACTTCTTGTGTCCAGAGCAGAGTGAAATAAGTGAGAAATTCATCTGTCCCCTGCACTCAGCATAAACCACACAACATATCACTTTGTTTTAATCTTGTTACTAGCTGCAAAAATATTGCAGTTCTGCACTTCTCCAGTTCTGCAAAGGCCATGGGCAGATAACCTGATATGAGTTAATTTAATTATGAAGTTAAAGAGAAATTATTTCAACCATGGGAAATGCCACACACAATCAAAACTGGAATATGGCAGAGATCCTTGTAAGCTTCTGCTATCTGTTAATGATTCTTAGAGCATTTTTTCTAAAATCTGGGGATTTTTACACCAGCATTTTGAAGGAGGTGAGTGGTGTTATGCCTACCACATAAAAAAAGGGGAAACAAAACACATTTTAAAAGCCTGATCTTGGACTTAGAGAATAGCATGAATTCCAAAATGTGTTGCTGCAGAAACAAAAGCTATTTGCCAAAATAAACATTCAGGAATATGTAGTTGACTATTTGTAGACTTCTTGCTCGATAATATAAAAATAGAGTCTCTGAAAGTATAGAAATGCAATTCGTAGAGTAAATACACTTGTAACTGTTAATTCACTGATCTAAACGCAAGAACATGCAGATATAACATAACTGGCCTTTATTTTGCATTAGTTTGACACTACTGTATTTCTGGTCCTTTTTTCCTAATTTCAGACCATTCTCCTAAATATTCCTTTCTAGCTCCTTACACTTCTTTTTTTTTTTTCCCCCCCTCCAAGGTCTTAAACTTAGAAATTCAGCTGTGCAATAAGCATGTGATCTCCTTAGCATGCCAGGAGACATTCCCAGAGTGCCTGATCCTCAGCAGTTGGTTGGAAGCACCCCCAGCCCAGGGTTGTTTTGTGCCTGGATGGAATTGGCTGCGAGTCCCGGTAGAAATGAGCTCATCCCAAGGAGTGAGCTCTGCCTGGTGTCCCCTGACCTCTGTGGGAACAGTGTGTGTGCAGCCTGCAGAGCACTGATTTCATGGAATACATGTTTACCAGCTGCAGCCAAGATTTATTGCCCAATTCTGAGTGCTGTGGGGTGGCCTGTGCTGTCACTGAGGTGAGGAGGCATTTACAGCTGGCAGTGCCTTGCAGGACTGATGTTCAGCCTGTAACAGTTTCTTCAGGGTGCTTGCAACATTTTGTTTTCACAGAGAAATACTTATTTCTCAATTTTATTCAGAGTGTAAATGTTTCAGGCGCAGAGATAAATGTTACATGGGGGGATGGAGACCAAATATATCAAGAGTGGCCCTGAAAGCAAGTAATGCCTTTAAGTGCTGCCTTACTGCTGACATAGGAAAGCTTTTAGGTGGTGAGATTTTTGGGAAGTAGCTTTGCAAAGGTGGTAACTGTTACCTCCCCAGGGATGGTGCTCTCTTGTCTGAGATTGTCAGGCTTCGTGTGATGGTGGGTCCTGGATCTGGTGTCCTGTGGGAAAATGGCATCCATAGCTAAAGGAAAGCAGAGGGTGCTCTTGGCAATAAAATATATGGGGCATCTAATTATCTAATGATTACATGAGTATGATCTTATACTGTGCACTGAAACAGAGACTCTTTGCACACTCTTCAGTTTGTATAAGTTTTTGCTCTTTTTGTTTGAATCATTACATTGAAAATAATTCAGTCCAGGTATTCTTAAGCTAGAGGATGAAATAGGAATACTTAAGGTTTGTACCTAAGATGTCTTGAATATTTCTGCAAATGTTTCAATTTCCATGCAGTTCTCTGGTTTTCATTGTGAATATGAAGAAATATGGGGGAAAATTTAATCTACTGCCCTTTGATGATGTGCAGAAGCACAACCAGTCCTGTAACAGATGAGTAACTTGGTTGCCCAGAGAGGTTGTAGATCCCCGTCCCTGGAAGTGTCCAAAACCAGGCTGGACAGGGCTTGGAGTAACCTGGTCTAGTGGAAGGTCCCTGCCCATGGCAGGGGGTGAAACAAGATGACCTTCAAAAGTCCCTTCCAACCCAAACTATACTGTGATTCTGTGAAATAAAAAATACTTTAAATATGATCGTCACAGTTACAGAAACATCCAAAACTGACATGTCTTTTGAAGAATCACAATATCAATTTTGGATAATAAATATTAGCATAATCATCAAAATGTGAAACAGAAGGATTTTGGCAACACATTCCTAATTCAGAACTTTCTTCTCTGCTATTTCCATATTGGTCAATGCAACTGTGGCTGTTGTATCCAGGTGGAATAAGCTGGGAGGTTTGCACAGCTTTTTAGTATGAAAATACTCATTCAAAGGAACAGGAAAGAAAATGTCAAATAATGCTGCATTCCAGCATGGAATTGCAAGGAAATGCAAATTCTTAGGGATTGCTCTGGAGTGGTTGTGGTGCTTTAAAAAGCTTGGGTTAATATGCTAATGTGAAATGTGAGAGTGTTTTGAATGAAGAGGACAGAGAGAGAGAAAATTATTACCAAAGCTATTACAGTTCTTACATCAAACCAGGATTAGTGATTTTTTCCAGGGTATATGTAAATCATCAGCAGCTTATTTTTCTTTAAATGGGTAGTAAGAAAACGTTTCTGTTTGCTTTCATTATGGTAAAGGTAAGGAATTCTTGATTTCTCTGAGCTCAATGACAACTCGCCTGTAGTCTGTACATTAAAGAAAAAATGCCCGCATTATTTTTACATTCTTCTCTGAGGTTGTCTTTAGTATCCTTGAAATGAAGCAAGTAATTAGAGCTGTGTCCTTGGGTGACAAACCTGTGTGGCCGTGCCTGTCTCCAGCCCTTGTGCTCAAAACCTGTCTGTGGATTAACGCCTTAGAGTTCCCTGTAACAGGAGGGGATTTCCCGGGGGCACTGGGTAAAGGAAAGTTGCAGTTCAGGCAGGAAATTGCACGTTCGTTGGAAGTTCTGCGGTTTGATTTCTAAAATGTCATTTTACACTAGAAAAACTTCCCTGCGCTGCTGTAGGCGTGCGCTGTGCTCGTGTTCACAGGGGCTAAAGGAGCAGCAAAATGTGGATGGAACCGTTCTGTCAAAGGACCACAACCCGAGGCTTAGAAAGACAAGAAATCACAAGCACCTTAATTAATATTTTGGGGCCTCTGAGGCAGTGGGAGGCTGATGTGCCCCTTTAATAGCGCTGGACATAAAGGTGTGCAATTCCTGCCCGGGAACAGCAGCGCTGGTTACTTGTGTTTTGTTACGGAAACGCGAGACCGCAGCACCCGGTTAAATAAAATGGTGATGATGCCGTATTTAGCAACTCGCAGGGTGTCGTTTCATTTTAAAATTAAAATGAGAAAACAGAAATCGGATGGGGGGGCGGAAATAACCCTTTGTGTGGTAGAACTGCGGAGCGCGTTGTAAAAAATATGCGGGGACGTGTCGGGAAAGCAGCGGAACCTCGGGCACCGGCGCTCCCGGGCGCGGGGGGCAGGAGCCGGGGGGGTCGGGATCGGGATGTGGATGTGGATCGGGCCGTGGATGGGGGTTCCCTCGCGTACGTGCGGCGGCGCAGGTCCGCAATGAGCCCGGCGGGCGCGGCCGGGGCCGGGCCGGGGGAGGCGGTGGCGGAGGCGGGGCCGCCCCGCCCGCTCTGCGGCCACAGGCACAGCCCCGGCGGCAGGTACGGCACCGGCCCCGCGCCCGGGACTGCCTGGTGGGCTGCGCTGGGGTGTTTTGGGGGTATTCGGTGGTCGTTGCTTTTTTCCCCGTGGAACTGACGAGTTGCGGGTCGTGCCCGCCCGCTCCGCCGCCAGCCCGGCGCGGGGGGCTCTGAAGGGCCGGGGTGCGGTGGGGGGGGGTCCCGCTCCCCGTGCCGCCTGCGGGGGCACCTTCCCCGGGGGGCTCGGCGAGCGGTGTCGGCCCCGCGCCTGCCCCGGGGCCGCTCGGTGCCCCCGCACCGCCCATGCGCGGGGCCCGGCGGCGTTTGCGGGGTCACTGCGGGCGGGGGCATTGCGGGGCATTGCGGGGCACGTGAGCGGCGGGGCCGCCCCGGGACCGCCCGGCGGGGCGGGCGCGGCAACAAAGGGCGGCGGGGCCGGGCCGGGCTGGGCCGGACGGGGAGCCGGGCTGGATTGGCGCTGCTCGTGCGGGTCTCACCCCCCGCCTCGCTCTCTCCTGTCCCGCAGCCCCGGCCGCCAGGACCGCGCCGCACCCGCGACAGCGCCGGGCTGCGCCGGCCGCGCCGCAAATGAAGTGCGAGAACTGCACCAAAAAGGTGAGTGCGGCGGCCCGGTCCTGCCCGAACCCCTCGGCTGGGGAGGGGGACCCAGTCCCGAGGGTGGGGGACGCAGCCGGCGGGGACTCCCGGGGCCGGGGTTACCCCGGGAGGCCGAGCGGCGCTGGCCGCCGGCCCCAAGGTCACCGCGCTCCGCGTCCTCCCCGCGCCGGCACCTCCCGGGAGCCCCTTGGCTGCGGCTCGGAGCCGCTCCGCTCCTCCTCGGCCTCCCCGGGCAGCCCCCGGCGCTGACGGACCGCCCAGAACTCCAGAACTGATGGCCCACGGCGATTCCTGCGGAATCGATTCCATCGCAGCAATTGCACTTGGAACACAAGGCCTCGCGTGTGAAGGGGCAGAACGAACGCTGCCGGAACGCTGTAAAGTAACGTACCATTAGTGGTTAATGGTACAGACAGTTCTGCCAAGGTGTTCTTACAGAGCGGTGAACGGGCTTGGCAAGATCCGTGTATTTTCTGTTTTGTTTCAGGAATGCAGTAAAAAACAGAAAAATGATGATACACAAAGCACATCTGTTGATGCATTGAGTTCAGACGATGGCTTTGAAGAGGTAATGTTCCTTCTACAAACTGTAATATGCTCTATTTGTATTCTTTTGTTGCTGCATACCCCAAGGGAGGTTATAAGGAGACAACTTTCAAGTCCTAAACATAGCAATAATCAACAAGCAGTTGTAAGCAATTTTGAGCTCTTGTTGAGAATGAAAAATCTTTTCAAAAGGTGAAATAAAAGCCCATTTTGAGTGTCAAAAATCTTTAAAACAGACACAGAACTTGAGAGGAGTTTTGATAGTAAAAAGGCACAAAATGTCTTTATATCTAAGTTTCTTTCTTCTTAGTGAGCTGCCAATGGTTGTCATAGCAGATGTATGATGCTCATGATCTCACAGTATATGTTCAATGCAGTGGTAGGACTGTGTTCTGTTTTACCTCGTGGTATAAAGCCCAAGCCATCTTGCTGTTAGAGGGGCATCTGCTTAAAGATGATAGTTCAGGTAAAAGTTTTCTCAGTTGCTTGGTGAGTTGATGGGGACTGTCAGCTCTGCAGTGCAGTGCAAATGAAGTTACTAGAACATGGACTAGGGGCTAAATTTAGATCTCTGTTTGCACTTAAACATGTTGCAGTTTCACAGTAATAGCAGAGTCATGGAAGGGATGGAACAAATTATTTTGATTACCTGTAAGTTCCCTTGGATGTTACACAAATGTCATGGGTTGTCTTCTTTTAAACCAGTGAGAGCATGTTTGCCCTTCAGCTGGCTCATTGCAGAGGTCTTAAAAATAATTTGGTTGTTATTAAATACTGGTTTACTTTTTTTTTCCCCCCTAGAAAAATGAGTTTGATACATTGGCTAATGCTAAAATACTCCTTAGCGACTGCTTAGCTTGTGACAGTTGTATGACATCGGAAGAAGGAGCCAGAGTTTTCCAACAGAATCAGAAGGAGTTCTTTCGTGTTCTCAACCTTAATAAGGTAAAGTGACCCAAACAATAACACACAGTTTTCTGTGAGGAGGAGGCAGTTACAGAATGACTAAGCAGCTTGGTTTCCCAAGGCAGATAACGTGAAGATTTGTCAATATATGTTGTTTCCGAAGAGGAAGTGAAAACTTGAAGCAAGATAAATGATAAAGTACTTAAAATCATTTTGCACTAGAGATGTGAGGTCACAGCATTTAATCTAAATGCTGGAAGGAAGTTACTGCACCTGCAGAAGGAAAATTTATTGGAAATGTAATTCCCTCATTACTGTACTAACAAATTAGTCTTGTAGTTCAATATTTATAGATATTCCTACCTTTATTACTAGGACTGTTCTGGGTGGGGTTGGTGCCACTGTATCCACATAACATAAAGTTAGGAAGACATGTTATTGCAAGTAGAATTGTCTTTAATATATATTCGACCTGACCATATTTGGAACAGAATTTTTTGTCCAAATTCTTAGCGAAACTTAGAAGTGTTCTATTGCTGTCTTATTTTCTGCTGACATTTTTTTTTCTGGAAGCTAGTTGCTAAGTACAGTGCTCAGATCTTTAGAACTTGATACTGAATTAATTATTTTAGTTCTGCCCCAGACTTCTGTGTCCTTACTTGGTGTGCAAAAGCTACCAGAATTGAAGCTTTTTCTTGATCTGTATATAAGTGTCATAATTAAGAGGATTCACTACACAGTACTTAAATTTTCTTAGGAGTTTAATTCTCCATACAGTATGATGTTGTCATACATGAGAAAAATAAAGAAAAGGGGGGAAAAATAATCTTTTGGGTCACATTAAGAGAGCCTGAACCGTGCAGTAGGGAAGCAGCCATTTACCTTTATCAAACTTCAAGGGTCTAAAGGAGGATAGTGAGCCAGAGGCTCAGCTGTGAGCTCTGAGTTGTGAGCTGTCCTTGAGAGGTCATTACACAGCATGTAAGAACAGACTGTGGTCTCTGACCTTTGCAGGGTGAAACTTGTCTGTGGCACAGTCCAAGGTTCCACTGGTGTGGAAAATGACCCAGCTAAAACACAGGATTTGTCTTCACCTAAATGCCACAACCATCAGAGCTGTACAGTTCCACAACACCCGGGGTATTTTCAAAGGGTTCCTCAGTGCCTACAAACCCTGGTTTGTTGAGGGTCCCATCTTGCCACTTTCCCTCAGCAACTTAAGTGATAAAGACACAGGAGCCTTAACAAAGAATCAGATCTGTAATTTGCT